GTAGGTTGTGCCTTGGTGTGTCAGTGTCAAATATAAAACAAATAATGCCAAAAAACAACAAGTATTGGTAAGGCAATCGCAGATAAGTCAACATTCCGCAGGCTGGGTAAAGTCAAGCAAAATGCTAGGGAAAATAGGAAAAGTAGCAAAAAGAGAGGGAAAAGGAGATGAAGAAAGAGAGAGCATATCGCATAAATGAATGAGCCAATGAATGAATGAACGAATGAATGGAATGAATAAGTGCCAAATGCCTTGGCCATATTATGCGGCACACACGCACAGAGCATAAAGCACTGACACTTACACTCTTTAGCCAGACAGCCCAGTCACACCCCCTCAACACACACTACTCCACTACCCCTCCTACTCACACACCTCCTACTAACACCCCCTATTCACCACTTATTCACCCCTTCCCCTCGCTTGCTCCGAATTTGCAGCCCTTGACATGATGCTGCATACATTTTTTAAAGTCTTTCTCTGTTGCCACGGCAATGATGAGCCCGATATGTGTCAAACACCAACATGAAAAGCCGCCCCCTTACACCACCCATAAAGCACCCACCCAACCCCCCTTAACCCCTTTACCCCCACCACTATATATATATATGTATGTATTTTTTTTAAGTCGCGTTGGATAGTTTTTCATCAGATGCAAACGCTTACTGCAGGCAATCAATCTCGCTAGCGAGCGGGATAGAGAGAAAAATGAGTAAAGCAAGAGATTAAAGGAGACCAAGTGAAATGAGAAAGTGCAAAAAGAAAAGCTACAAAAAACAAAAAAAAAATGCAAAAGAGTAAAAAAAAGAAAACCCCCACCGACCATAGAACACCAAGTTCTCAGTCAGCAAAAATAATTGCATACTTACGAGCTTGCTTTTCGCATCAGTAGTGTTTGTTCTCTCCATTAAGCGAAGATGCTACTGCTATATATATAAAAACTTTAAAGGGTATATATAAAAGGGGGTTATACCCTTATATAAAGGGTATAGAGGGGGAGTGTGTTTTATATAGTAGAAACATAACCTTAAAGCCTGTAGATCGCGACCCCCTTTGTCACGCATCTCACATCTCCATCAAATGGCTCTTTGTCTCTGTGACTCTCTGGGGGATTTGGTACTTTAATGCCGGATACGGAAATACAAACACACACTGGCACACACACACTCGTAGACACACCCACACACAGGGAACCCAATCAAGCCTGGCTCTTGATTTCTTTATTTCTTTTGTGTTGTGTTGTGTGTAAATGTTGCCTATCAATGCTTAATAATGTCATAAAATCAAAAAGTCAGGGCAGCACAACAAGCATTTGGATTTGCAGTTAGAAAACACTGAAAGAAAATAATAAGGAACAACAAATTTAATCAAATAATATTGTAATTATTTGATTGATTTTATTTATTTCTATTTTAATTCAGTTTGTAAAATTTCTTACAATATTTTTTCCTTTTTTAATTCAGTTTCTACAAATCCTTTACTTAATCTAACAATATTTAATTCTTTTTAATTTTCTTAAAAATATGATCAAGTTCTCTCTAGCATTTTCTCTCAGTGTAGTGTACCTACATAGGCTTCGTGTCTTAGCATTTGTGAATATGCTTTGCTGAGTGGCCATGGCGGGGCATCATCATCATCGTCGTCGTCGTCGTCGCCATTCGAGTGGCCACTCTCCGCTCCTTGACCTTGCCCCATTCCCGGAAAAAACCCACCACCGCCTCCTCAAAAAAAAAATGAAAATGAAGAAAATATGATGGAAAATCTTGCTGCGTTGGCTGGAAAATACAAGTGTATGCAACCCGGGGCCAGGACCCTCGCAGGAAGCAGCTTGCAGAGAGGTCCTGTATTGGCTTGAGTTCGCATTTTCCTTTCTTTTTTCTTTTTTTTTTTGTGTGTGTGTTATTTTCTGCATATTTTCGTCAAGTGTTCGGCACACAGCAAAAGCTGTGTCATATGTGCAAGATGAGGAAGCAGTGTCAAGAGTTTCACAAATTGTTTATACACTCAGCGGGATTTTTGATTTGTTTTTACTCTTTTTTTTTTGAAAATAATTTGGGACCTAATAATCTCTAAAATCCTTCATGTTCTTAAAAATTAAATACATTTAACCTCAAAGGACTCTAAAAGATACCTCACTTAACCCAAATAACTTTTGTTTAAATACATACAAGTAATCTTCTTTTCAATTCCAAAATAAATAATTGAAAATTTAATTGTTTATGAAATTGCAGCTTAACATTTCTAGCTTTTTTCTCTCCTGTTTGTATTTATTTATTTTTTTTTTTTTTTGGATTGCAAAAGAAAATAAAACGATATATTTTAATTGGAATTTATTTTGCAAGCAGCTGTCAAGTCCTATCAGAGTTTTCCCCTTCTTTGGGATTCAAAGCTAAAAATGTGCAACGCTTTCAATTATATTTAAATTGTAAATGTAATAAATATTAAGTGAGCTATATATAGTATAGTACAGACAGGTCAGAGTTTTGTGCAGATAAATAGATAAATATAGTGAGAAAAATAAGAGAAAATAAGAATAAACGAGAGAAAAACTCATTTATAAAATGAAATTTTATAGTTTAAAAGAATTGAGTTTAAATACAATTTATTTATGGGCCTTCTTGGGCCTTCTTGGGTCTGTAAATTGTTACAAAATGGTTTATAACTTCTGTTTGTAAAATAAAACCCTTTTCTCACTTCTCCAATTCCTTTTTTTTGTCGCATTTTTATGCATGTTTTGATATGTTCAAGCATCGTTTGGCGTCACTTGGCGATGTCAGCCATGCAACATTTTATGGCCCACGCACACAATGTTTATATACACATATACATATACATCTACATCTACATATATATAGATATATATATAGATATATATAGGGGCAGGATCTGATAGGACTGCAGGACATTTTGTCGTCTGCGGCTGGCTTTTGTTTCCATTTCGCTTTTCGCATTTCGCATTTGTTTAACAGTTAAATGGGCAGCGGGACCATCGCTGTCGGCGTCGCCGCGTCTCGATAACAATTTTAATAGGCCATTTAATTTTTAATTAATTCTTCAAGCGCCAGTTGCCATGTCATAAAAATGTTTGCTGTCATGTTTGTTCGCTCGTCTGCCCTGTCCTGTCCTGTCCTGTCCTGTTCTGTCCTGGCATGTCCTTTGCCCTCAGCTCTCCACTCTCCACTCTGCACTCTCCATTCTCCACTCTCCATTGATGATGATGTTTTTCGGGGCGTTTAATGACATGTTTTTGTTTCATTTCACCCCAACTGCCACGCTGACGGCATTTGCCGCCTGCATATCATTATTATTATTCTCGATATTTTTCTTTAACCCCTCATTCCCTGCTCCCAACAAAAATATACACAATATACATACATAGATATACCCCAAAAATAATCCGCAATTTGCTTTGTTTATTGAACATTTGTCTATTTATGATGATGAGGAGGGCGCGCGCGTGTTTTTTCTGTCGAAATTTCATTACTCAAAAACTTGCTGACGCACACATAGAAAAAATAAAAAAAAGTACACACAAAAAAATATATATATCATATATATATGTATAATTAAAACAATAATAAGAAATACTAAGAAAATAAATAAATAATTTATTTTAAAATGTTATTAAATTCTTATAAGTCACTAAGGTAAATTCCCTACAGTCTGTTTTTGTAGAGTAAAAAACAATATTTTATTTTAGGAAATTATTTCAATATAGTTTGGCAATAGTTATTTCTGTATTATTGAATTTTTAACCTAAATACCAAAAAAATGGTTTTATTTGAACAATTTCAATTTTTTATAATTTTGATTATTTTCCTTAAGTAAACCTTTAATTTTTTCCTTCATATTTATTAAAACTTTAAATAATATGGGACATCATAAATAATTTTTATTCTTTTCCTTGGAAAAACTTTAAATTCTTTCCCATAAATACTCCATATATATGTATTTACAATATTAATTAATAAAAGACAGTGTGACCCTCCCTCAAAAAAGTAGCTCCAGCTTAGTGTGGCCGAAGTTGTTTTTGAATCACTTATTTTCCAATTATCCTTTTCAAATTTTAAGTAATTTTTTATGATAAACATCTTATATATATTTTTCTCCCTAAAAAGAAAACCTTTACTTTTATTCCCTTAACACCCCCCGTATTTTTGGTGACACTGTTTGCTGTGATAAATTAGACCAATTTAATGGGATATTTATTTCTTCGTGTATAATCTGTAATTAAAATGGGGCAAGAGGGTGGAATATAAAAAAAGGACTTGGTACAGCCATTGCCCCACTCAGCAATGGCTGCTTGACCTCGAGGCCAGCTAACCTTCGACCCGGCGTCGACCGCAGGCACTCCTCTCCGCCCCCCCAGAAAGGACACAGCACCCTCGGAAAGGACACCCCCCCTTACACACCCTCACACCAAGGCAATGCGCATTGTTTGGTTTTATATTTGGAAATTTTTGTGACTCTCTTAATAGCTTTTTGTGAAAATTAATTTCTTCGCTATTAGAGGCTCTTGTCGACTCCCATGGCCATCTCCTGCAACCAACCCCTGCAACTCTCTCAGTGTATGTGTGCTTGTGTGTGTGTGTGTGTGTGATGGAGAGTATTTTGTAATTACTTTATGCCCGAAAATTGCCGTAGTAAAATATTTCTCGCTGGCTTTTGGCTTGGATTTAACCATCGCCTTGGGGCGCAGGACAAAAGCTAAAGTTGGGAGGAAGGTGAAGGAGGAGCAGGAGCAGGAGCAGGAGCAGGATCCTTGGATTCTGGGTGGGGGGAGGTTCTAGAGTAGCTCTCAGCAGCGTTCACTAATGAAATCAAATGCCTGTGCCTTGGCCCTTAACCAAGCCACCGAAAGTAAACCAATTTAAAGGCTGGTCATATACAAATTTACACAGATACGGTTTATATATGCCTTTAGGTTTATGGTTTTATTACTTTTAAAAATGAGTTTCTCAAGAATAACTTGTAATTTAAAAGAAATCCACATATCTTGGCCTTAACTGTCATTTAGCACATTAAAATTTTCACAAAATTTCTCTAACTTTTGGTTTCAAAATTTAATTAAAATTCAATTTCGGCAAAAATATGCTCTCCAATGAGGATGCGAATGTAGCCCACTCTTTGGTTATCTTTGGAGCCTCGGGAAATCTGGCCAAGCGAAAGGTTTTCCCACTTTTGTGGAGTCTTTACCGAGATGATCAATTGCCCAAACGTTTAAGGATATTCACCTATTGCCGCACACCTGTGCGGGCCAAGACCTATCGCCGACGGGTGTTGCCTTATGTGAACCTAGATCGCAGCAAGGACCTCGAGAAGTTTGATCTCTTTTGGTCCAGAGTATATTGCGTGCAGGGGAAATATAACAAACCCGAGCATTTTGCAGCTCTGGCAAAGGTAATGCGTGTACAGGAGAGAAAACACACTCATTTGCTTCATCCGAGAGCAAATCGTATTTTTTATTTGGCTCTGCCACCATTATGTTTCGATCAGGTGACCCTTAATGCTAGTAATCAGTGCAGTTCCCCAAATGGTTGGACCAGAATCATAGTGGAAAAACCCTTTGCCAGTGATGATTTTTCCTATGATTTTTTTGGCAAAGCTCTGTATAATAGCTTCCGGGAGTCACAGATTTACTTTATTGATCATCAATTGAGTCGTCGAGTTTTCCAAAATTATCATCTCCTTCGATTTGCAAATCATTTCTGGGGAAGCACCATGAATAATCAACATGTGGCTGCTGTGATGATTTCCGTGAAGAGCAAATTACCTGTGCCAGAATGGCGATCAAATTATTTTGAGGAATTTGGTATCATTCGGGATTTAATGGGTAATCACATGATGCAAATGCTGGCCTTGGTGGCCATGGATCAACCATTTGACAGCACCGCCGAGGAAGTGCGTGAGGAGCGTTTGAAGACCTTGAGGCAGGTGATAGCACCGAATATGCGCAATGTGGTTATAGGTCAATATCGGAGTAATGAAGAGAATGAAGATCCTGGCAGATGTGGCTATAAGGAGCATAGCTATATAGCTAATGATTCCACACAGGCCACCTTTGCTTCGGTTGTCCTTCACATAGATAGTCCTCGCTGGAAGGGTGTTCCCTTTATCCTGCGTGCTGGAATGGCTCTCAATGATACCAAATCGGAGGTACGAATTCAATATAAACCCGTGCCCTGTCATCCCTATCACATGGGTAAAGGTCAGATACGGAATGAGATGGTTTTACGTACTCAACCCACCGAAGAGATCTTTATGCGATTGCGTCTCAAGGGGAACAGTTTGAATCTATGTCCTGGTGAGGCTGAGATTAATCTTAGTTTGGATAAATTTGAGGGTGAAGTACCGCCAATGAAGTTCTATAAGGATGCTATTTTGGATGTCTTTAAAGGCGATCAAACCTACTTTTTGCAATCCGATGAACAGTGTCAGATCTGGCGTATATTATCTCCGATCCTGACAACCATCGATGCCTCAAATGCTCATCCTTTGTACTATGAATTTGGTTCTCGGGGTCCCATGCATGCCTATCGCCATGCTGAACGTGCTGGTTTTGTCTTCTTTGCCACCGATGAGTGGCATCAGAGTGAGGAAGGACTAGAGTATACCCTGGAATTGAGTAGATTGGGCAAGGAAATGCCAGAAATGGAAGGTGTTAAGCCCGAGCGGGCCAAGAAGCCTTGGAAGTGTGTCAGCTTAAATCTAATTGAAAATCAAACTTTTGGCAGTTTTCTATAACAAAAAAGAAGAAGTATAAAATGTGTGATTAATAAATGTGGTTATAAAAATACTTATATTTAATGAATACTTTTTAAAAAGGAAACTTTAAGAATGAGCTATAAAAGCCACGTTTTGGAAATTACCAAACAGGAAATATGCCTTTATGTTTATAAATCTGTCCCAAGAACTGACCGTACGTGTGACCTCTCAACTCTTTCCTCTAGATCCTGGAAAACCCTCTTATTTTTCCCAACATGGAAATTGTTTTCTCCTTCCCTGTCTTCCCTGTCTCGAGTTAAATGTATATATTCCGTTTTTTTTTGGAAACTTTTCCTACGAAAATTGCCACGCATAATTGCCAGCTTCTACCATGTGTGTTGGATGGGTGTGCACCCTTTAACCCTTTAAGGATATCTACGGACATGTGTGTGTGTGTGCATCGTTAGTTAGTTAGTTATAACTACATACAATTTTATGGACGCCAACGCCAGAGCACCATATTGTAAATGTTATAATTTTCACTAACAATTTTTAGCAGCCGTCGTCGGTTGAACGTTGAAGGCGTTACCCAGAGAGTGGGGGCGGGAACACGCTTACCATTTATGAACGATGGGTAGCTATATGTATATATATATATATATATATAGCCATGATAATTTTCAACAACTTTTCCCGTAGCGTGTGAAACAAGCTCGTTGTAAGCACCGGAAGAGCCTACACATGCAAGGAGGAGCAAAAGGAAGCAAAGGAACAACCTCCTCCTCCTTATGCCACTTAAACGTGCTTGGGGTTTTTAAGTATTTTTTAACATTACAACCGAAAAGCATTTTCTGTGTTTTTCACTCCCATTTTCTGTTTTTTTTTTTATTTTTTGCTTGTTGTATTTTGTCAGTAATAAAATTTAATACATACACACGCACAATTTTACTCAATTATAAAAGTTTCCACATTAAAAGTTCATTGCAGAGACGGAAAGTCCGAGAGTGAGTATGAGTGTGTGTGTGTGTTGGGTTAGGTCCTGTGTGTGTTGGTGTATGTTGGAGTATATGTTGGTGTACGTTGGTGTATGTTGGTGTCTGTGCAGTCAGGAAGAGGAAGGAACAGGCCTAGAAGCCAGGTCCTGTGATTCCATTCCCAGTGCTGGGGCAAAACAAAAAAAAAAAAAGGAAAAAGGAAAACAAACATCAAAGCCAAAGTGTCGCCGACAGAAAAAGTAACTTTTTTTCTATTATTTTCCTTTGAGGGCCAGTCTGGGGCGAATTCGAAATGGGAACAAGGGGAGGCAGGAAGTTAGGTGGAAAGTCAGGGGGGAAAAAAAAGGTTGTTGTGCTAAATGCACATGGGATAGCACCTCCTCCTGCCTCCTAGTCCCTGCCCAAAAATGACTTTATCCTGCTCCTGCTAATCGGCAAACAGTATCTGCATAGCCCCGGCCTGACCTCGCAGCTTCTGCTAATTAGATAAAGGATCAGGGACAACGAGTTACCCGACAGAGTCCTTGAAGAGCTGGGCAAGCAGCAGTGACATTCAGTTCACTGATCCAGCTAACGAGATTTCGCTAAAGGGAGAGCATATAGAAAGAGTATAGGGGAATATACGAAGTATAGGGAATGCTTTCTTGCACATTTAAGCCCACACAAAGTTAGCGCCATAATTCAATTATTACTTCTTGGCTAAGCATTTCTTTGGTTAAGAAACAAAGTTTAGTTAGAGGGATTTTAGTGAGAATTTTACATGATTTTACGATTTTTGCCCTAATTATATGAGCTATTTGGGCAACCTTTTTAAAAGCTATATCTGTGTTTTTTGTACCCTTAATTCTAAGCGTTATACTTGTTTGCAGATAATGTAAGCTATAAAATATACAAGTTAAATAATTATTTACATACTAGGATTTTCCAAAATTGACTAGAGCACTGAAAATCCTTTATAAATAAATTTAAAAGATAATTTTTAGATACTGTTTTCCTTGAGAATGTGATGTATTAATGAAATTCATTTTTATGCCCTTGCCAGAGTCTGTAGCTTAAAACGCTGTGAAAGAGTCATTTCCGACCTTATAAATCATATATATTCTTGATCAGCATGAAAAGCCAAATCGATCTAGACAAGTTTTGGAGAATAAAATTTTTGGCAATTTTTTTTTTAATTTTATGAGGGATTATATCGTTAAAATTTGGAAAAATTGTCAAAAATTTTACATTTTATATTGAGTATGCAGATTTATAACCCTAATAAAAACTAGCATGGGACTGCTTTCCGAATTAAAATTAATGCATTTTTGGCTTAGTTTTGATTATTTCAAACTTTGATTTTTACGAAAAAAAAAAAATATAAGAATTTTGATTTTAAGAATCTAGCAAAGGGTTTAATAATTTTAATCAGTGAAGGAGTCGTTTCCGACCCTATAAAGCATATATATTCTTGATCAGCATGAATAGGCGAATCGATCTAGAGTACAAAAAATATTTGTCAAATTTTTTCAAAATTTTATATGCGGTTACATCGTTAAAATTGCGAAAAATAGTCCAAAATTTTACATTTGTAATTGGATATGCAGACTTATTTACCTAATAACAACTAACATGGGACTGCTTTCCGAATTAAAATTAACGCATTTTTGGCTTAGTTATGCGTTTTTAAAATTTTGATTTGTTGATAAAATTGTCATATAAATATCTCATTAAATATTGATTCCAAGAAAGCGAATATTTTAGGTTTAGTTATAAAAGGTTTTCGAGACGATCCTATAATTGAATTGCAAACTGAAATATATGTTTAATATTATACATAAATATAAATAAAGTAAAAAATATAAATGTATTAATATATTGAATAAAATATATATTACATTGAAAATATATTCAAATATAAATATAATAATATATCAATATATTAAAATATAATTATATTAACTTTGGCTTCCCAAAGTTAGTTTCCTTTCTTGTTTTACTTTAATTCCGGAAACCTATTGAAGGGTTTTTTTTTAAAGAGCTTGAAGACCCCTAACTATAGTCTGATATTTTCTATATAATGAATGTACCCTATAAATCTCTCATATTTTCTATATAAAATATATCCCCCATATAACTCTGATATTTTTCATATAATGTATGTACCCTTTATATACCTGATATTTTCTATATAAAATATATTCCCTATATAACTTTGATATTTTCTATATAATATACATATATCCTCCATATAACTCTGATATTTTCTATATTTTATATTTCCCCAAATATACCCCTTCTTAAACCCCTTTCTCCCCTTTCTCTTTCCAGGCTATGGCGGCATCTCACCTCGCACCCAATGGGGTCGTGTGGCTGCCCTGGTCTACGCCCTCTTTGGCATACCCATTGTCCTGCTCTATCTCTCCGCCATGGGAGAGGCTCTTTCGGCTGGGATGCGTTGCCTGTTCCGTCGCCAGCGTATCAAAGGTGGTCCCGGCGGCGGACCAAGTGCACCCGGTGGCCTAGGCTCTGGAGCTAGCACCAGTTCCACTGGCATTGGCGGTGGCGTTGGTGGCGGCGGACGAAAATCGGACAAGGGCAAAGGTCAGAGTCAGAATCAAGGACACTATGGCCATCAGAAGTTGCATCAATATGGTTTACCGCCCTCCGTGTATCAGCAGCAACAGCAGCAGGCACAACAGCAGGCACAGCAACAGCAGGAACAGCATCGACAGCAGGGCAAGAAATCATCCGGAGGACGTAATGGCAGTGGAGGAGGACGTGGTTCACCCAGCGTACCCATCTCCATTTGCGTGTGCGTGCTGCTCTGCTATGTGAGCAGCGGTGCCATCTTGTTCCATAAGCTTCAAAATTGGAGTGTCCTTGAGTCCTTGTACTTTTGCTTCACCTCACTGGGAACCATTGGATTCGGAGAACTTGCACCAAATGGACCATTGGCTTTGTACACCGCGTCCGCATATATACTCGTGGGCATGGCCGTGGTGGCCATGTGCTTTAGTCTTATACAAACGGAGATTGTCCTGTGGCTGCGACGATTTAGCGTTCAGGATCATGTGATGCCCAAGGCTGAAGAGTTGGCCCTCGTTTCCGTTTCCGTTACACCGAAACCATCCTGACAGCGACCCAGTGCCGATCCTGCCCTTGGTGTGGGCGTTGGCGTCGGCCTAGGCGGCGGTGCCGGTGTGGGATTAACTGGCGGCCTTCCTGCCCAGCATCAGACCATGTTCTTTGGTCCAGCCCATACGCTAACCCAATATAGTTCATTGCCGCGACGTAGTCACCTGCAGGCGGCCAATGCCCATGGCGGATCGGCTTTCCAACGGAATACGCCCATTCGACGCTCGACGGGCATACCGGAGCATCATCTGGAGTACTTTGTGCCGCGCAGCATCAGTGAGTTTAATCTCTCGGGTGTGGGAGATCTAGCCCTGCCGCCACCGCGTCGATATTCCCCCAATATGGGTGGAGTTACCGCTGGCAATGCCATGAACATGAACATGGGCATGGGCATGGGCATGAATATGGGCATGGGCATGGGCATGGGTCTGCCCCATGGCCTCCAGCTGGGTCCGCCCCAGACTCTGATCTGCTCGGCAGCAGCGGCAGCAGCAGAACAGCAACAACAGCAGCAGCAGCAGCAGGTGGCACCACCACCGCCGGCACAGTTGCAAATTGTGACCCTCAAACCACGCAGTGAGAAAATGGTGACCTTTGAGGATGAGTCCAAGTCTGCAGGTGGAGCGTGTCCACATGGAGTGCCCACCACACCCAGAAAGTCGCCAGCATCAGCTGCCTCGGTGTCGGCCAATGGTTGTGATATATTCATGTGACCAGGACCAGGAGCAGCAGCAGGATCAGGATCAGTAGCTGCCAATGATGATGCCGAGTTAAATGCGGCAATGCGACTGCGTGACAGCATTGATGATGCACTGTGTCCTAAGACAGGACCGGCGCCGGGGGAAGTGATACGCGTTTAAAGGAGTAAAAAGGGAAAGAGCACAGGAAAAATCAAAGCAAAAATCCAGGAAAAACTCCCTCAAGCAGAAGAAACACACACAACAAACACACTGTAAGTAAATGCACACAATTCACACTAACACACTTTTACTAACACAAAACACCAAAGAAAAAGAGAAAGGAAGGATAACGAAGAGGTGGAGAAAAACTATTGCCTACTTTCCAGGGCAATCAACTTGAACATTTACTGCAGTTAATTGTGTTTTTTTTTTGTCTACATTTTAAGCATAAACATAAACATAAACATTGAGCAAATATTTATTATTATGTGTGTAAATATAGCAAACAAACAAAAAGAAAAAAAAACACAAAGAACAACAAAGACAAGATGTGTAGGGTGTAGGCGAGTGAGTGAATTAAAATTAAAATTCCGTATGATAAATGCATAAATAATTGAATGGCTACCGTTAATGCCAATGGAACACGAACATTCAGAAATTAATAAATACAAACAAGTATACACACACAGACATAGGCATACACGAAACTATGAATAATAAATAGTGAGTGGGCGTGGCTGGAGTTCAAGTAGAACAAACAAAATGCAAATGGAAATGACAAATTGTATAAATACCAAAGGACAAAGTTTATTTAAGCGATTTGTTAGTTAGTTAGTTTTTGTGCTTCCCTCACTCTCCGTCTCTCTGTATTTTTTTTAGGGTGAACAATTGTAATTAGTTTCGTTAGAATGCATTGTATAACAGTTTTGTTTGTTGTTTTTTTTTTTGTTTTAATTGAGCTGCTGATTGATTATAGTTGAATATAAAGTTTACAAGCTCAATTTATTACTTGCCATATGTAATTGTTATACGAAGTGTTATAAATGGCATAAGGAGATCACTATTTTACAGCTAAAGCAAATAAGAGCTGTTTTAAAAACTTTTATGTAGAGCAAATATACCAGTATATCAGTTACATATTTTTTATGAATAATTTAAAATTTACAATGCAGTTTTTGAAGTTTATAAATGTGTCCTACTACTGTCCTATTTACTCCGCTTTTTTACAAGCATTAATTACCCAAACTGTTATAATAAGGTGCCAAAATATTATAAAAATCCAAGCCAAACGATTTCCATAAATGTTTGTTCAACAATCTCCAACAAATGCAAACATTTTCAAACTGTTATACTGTATATGTACCATGTACTTTAATATGCTCATCTCTCCCAGAAAATGTTAAGTGTGTAAATGTACAATATGCATGTGTATATGTGTATATGTGACGAAACAGAAAATCAAAGAGTTAGACAATTACTGTTAATACAAATATACAGAGACAAGCATATAATTATATACCCATAGCTGTAACCCCATAGCCATAACGATTGATGATCCACAAAAAAAAACAGCATTTGATATTTAATCCCAATGAAATCGAGAAATTACCAACGATTAAGCCAACAACTTCCCAGGCATTTAGCTCTTTGAATGAGCTTAGCTTTTATACAACGCCCCCTCTCTGCTTTTTTGTTAGTTTCGGTCGCCTCCCATGGCAATTAGGTTTAAATACTTTTTAAATGCATTTTGATTGTAGGTAATTGAGCGCGTGAATGGCCATTTGTAGCTGCCTTGTTTTTTGTTATTATCTTTTTTCTTTTATTTTGTTAACTTGTTTTGTGCCTCCGAAAAATAAAAAATGAGAAACCCATTTCATTATAAAATAAATTCAATTTGAGTGACCACCTCTCCACCGAGTGAAGGCGTGGTTGCATTTGTTAATTTTTGCCATATTCAATTTGTGGCATTCAATTAAAAATAGTGAAATTAAACCAAATAGGATAGTCATTATTCCATTGGAAAAACCTACAAAAGGCATGACAAGAAGCGTAAAATTAATGGTAAAAATGGTAAACAGAAAAAAGAAATAAAAAAGAGAGTAATCGTAATAAAAAAATATATATATAATTAACTAGAAAATAAAGCATAATTAAAATGGTTCAGAAGGTCAGGCTGAAACTAATTTTACAAATGCTGCAGCTTTTGTCTAAGCCAATTTAGATTAATGTCTATGGTAGTTAATAACTAACTAGCTAAAGCGATGTCAGAAACAAAAATAAACGAAAATATATATGGAAATTAAGCCAATGTAATTAAATTAAGTCCACTTCAAAATGCAGTCAGACAGAGTCGCAGCCACAGACATAAACCCGAAACCACAGACAAATTAATACTATCAAGTAAAACATAGAACAAAAAAAAAACAAATGCTAAAAAAAGAACAACAACTAAATGTAATGATAAAACTAAAACATTTTTTTTTTCTGTCAAATTCCTAGCACGGTAAGTTGAACTTGTAGGCTAAAAACCGAATGCATAGGCCTAGTTTAAGGATAAAAATTAATCTTAATTCATGTACTCTTAGTCCATAGTGTATACTCATTCAGATACAGAAACAGCTACATTTACAGATACAGATACATTAACAGATACAGATACAGATACAGATACAGATACATAATGTAGCCGTACACAAAACGAAAACTAATCTAGCATTGACAAACATAAATAAATAATAATTAAGGTAAACTGCAGTTTGGATCACATATATATATATATATATATTAATTTATATATATGTATATGTATATGTATATGTATACATACATCTCTTTCTCTATATATATAAATATATATATATAGATATATACAAAGGAAACCCAAACCAAAAAAAAAGAAAAGAGAAGAATAAATACATCATGAACAATTTAGTCAAAAATCAACAATATAATGTTTACTTTCTCACTTTTGGGGATATAAAATCACACAAAAAAGGTAAATTTATAATAAGGAAAAGGTGTTTTAATAATTGTTTAATATATCCTTATCCCTAGGATGTATCTTTTCCTTACTTAATTATCATTTTTTCTCTCTTTTTTCGCTTCATCAAAGGGAATTTTCCTCTCCGAAAAATAATGAACGCACTCGCGGAATTTCTGAATCTCTTAAATTTAAAATTAAATTGGTACAGAAAATCAATTTTGTTGCGTTAATTGATAAAGATAAAAATGGGGAAAGGGACTCTGCCCTCAGCTACCAGTTTTCAGTTTCCACCATATCGTTTTACCTTGTTTCTCTTTGCTTTTTTTTTGCCCTTTTTTTATGTGAATTATTTAATCATTTAATTAGTGTTAATAATTTATAGCAAACAGCTTCGCTATCAATTTACCGGCAATATATATATAAATTTATTTATATATATTTACATGTATATATCTTTATCCCTGCATTGGCATTTTATGACAACTCTGAAATGAAATTTCACTTAATCAAGAGATGAAACTCAGGTGTGTCCAGGCTCTGGGTCTATCTCTCCTGTCTCTCTCTCTCTCTGTGTGTGTCTCTGTCTCACTTCAATTTAATTTACTTCTGACAAATATCCTCATATCCGGACAACACCAAAGGACACCAATCCCTCTCGTAGCGAGTGTGTTTGTCGATTCTATAGACGAAATGTCAAGTGGAAAAGCATTAGCCCATCAAATGATGTGTAATGTGCTTCAATCTCTCTCTCCATCTCTCTCTATCTCTCTATCTCTCTCTCTCTCTCCTGAAAATTATCAAGCCAATGCATACAGAAATGCCGTACAGTGCGTTACGAAAATATAAGGTTATAATTGGGGTTTTAAAACCAGGAATATATGTTCCATTATTTCCGAAGAAATAACATAAATAAAGTAATGACTTGAATTAAAAAATGTTGTATTTTTTTAAACCCTTTCATACTTCCATAAATAATTTCTTATATTTTTTATCTTCAGTATTATAATTTATATTTAAATTAAATTACAAATTCTTCTATAATAACCCCACTGTACCTTTCATATTTTAAATTATTTGCACTCAAAGCCACTTGGTCCTTGTTTCATCCGAATGTCATCATCACTGAATTACCTCAATTTACACAGAAATGGAAGGACATTAAATTAATATCATGAAATGGCATCCAAGCAGTAGTAGGACTGCCAGAGCAGAATAATACCCAACCCAATTCAGGTGAAGTGGGATCAGTTTGGTCAACAAGGATAATGCATTCTAGTCCGATCAAAAAAAGGACACAGATCCTTTCAGGCTATTAAGAAGACGACTCACACACATTGAAGCAATAAATTTTACGCTTAAATGTTCTCCTTTTGTTTGAGTCATTAAAATCACATTTGCCAGAGATGGAAAAGTCGAGAGAGAATCCAATGATGATGATGATGCTACCAAAGATGATGTTGCTCCTGATGATGATGATGATGCTCCTGCTCCTGCTCCTTGGCAATGCGTCGCCATTAACGTTGACTGTTACGTTGTCAACACACTTGACATATAATTTGATTACGCATACGCATTTTATTAACTCATTTTCAGGAGGGGGGAAAACCATGGGCCCCGATGGCGATATGATATACTTATATGCGCGAGATATGCCTTCGCCCATTAACGGTTACGTTGTGCCGGCTCTGCGGTTTTTCAAGTGCTCCCCGAACCCAGGTCCTTTTCCTTTCTCCTCTCTCTCTCACACACATATATCCCCATATCCTTATACCACATTTGCCCATCATCAATGTCCTTCGTTTGGTTGCCTTCTCCTCCTTCGATTCCCTGATTCTGGCAGCATATTGTCTGAGTCTCAGTCAATTACAACAACTTTGAGTTCCTCTAGAGATGGCAGGATTTTTTTTTATTTTTTCACAACAAAAATTAAGGTGTTAAGGTTATCATTATATCGTAAAAAAATTGTGTTTATATAGATGAACATTTTCTCTATGATTTATTATGAATTTCTTATGTTGTATTTCTTATGAACTTTCTGATAATTTAATAGGAAAAAGAACTTTTTATGATAGTTAGGTTTGATTTTAATTTAATTCATAAATTTCTATCTGTATTTATTTGAAATGATATAGTTATATATTTTCTAATAGATCCTTTGGCGTGTCCTTTTCTGCGTGAGTGGATTCTTGATCCTTTTGCTGTCATCTCTAGACAACCAGCAGCGGCAGCAACTAATTTCTTTTTACAACTGTAGCAGTTCTTCAGCTTTATGGAAAGGCAAAAACCCACATATACAGGCACACACCCACTCAGCACACACATATAACCAGGCATACACTCAAAGAAAAAGTCAAAAGAATCACCATTAAAAAAGGTATGTTAAAAACTTAAGAACAAAAAGATTTCTGAG